GTGTATGGGTTAGGATTAGGGTACGGGTTAGGATAAGTTTAGGGTTAGGGTTAGGGAACGGGTATGGTTTAGGATACAGGTAAGGGTACGACAGCAGGTTAGGGTACGGGTTAGTGTTAGTGTACAGGTTAGGGTAAGGGTTAGTGTTAGGGTATGGGTACGGTTTAGGATACAGGTTAGGGTACGGGTTAGGATGAGAGTAGGGGTTAGCGTAAGGTTTGGGCGGGGGGGGCGGCACTTTGCTGAACATGCAAAGAACACATTGAAATAACAGTTTGGGCCTCATGTTCTGTTAAAGGTGTTTGACCAGAGTGCACTTTCAACTGAAGCTAAAGAAGAAATGTACAAACTGTATCCTAATGCCCGGAGGGCTCACCTGAAAACAGGAGGCAATTTCCCTTACCTGTGCAGAAGTGCAGAGGTGAATCTCTATGTACAGGTAGGTCCTAGGTTGGATCCCAGAGCACTTTGAACACAGAATCTGGTTTGAAACATAAAGTTTTTTTTATTTTTTGGTTGTCGAGTAAGAGAACTACAGAATTCTCTGTAGGAATGAAGCATTGACTTGATAAATTGGTCCACATTAGTAACTTACAGGAGAATTCAAGCATATCAGAGCCACCTGAGGGACTCTATGCCCACTCTCCCTTTTCTAAGAACCACAGGCCTGAACTCACACACTGAAGCAGCCGTTTGGTACAATGGGACCTTGGCTCCTGGATGCAATGAATTCAGCCAGAGCAGGACACCAGACTTAAATGGAGTCAATCTGAATCCCACGAAGGGACTTCTTGGTCTAATTTTAATGCATTAAAACACACGCACACAAACAAACACTACTTCTTCTAATACCTGCCTAAATGGATATTAGAATAGTGGTGAGAAATGGTTGCTTTGCAATTTGGCAAGTAGTATCAAGAGCCTTAAAAAACCAGTCACGTTCTTTGATCCTGTTCTCCACGTGTGGCAACAGATCCTGAGGAGAGGATCATAAATACAAAAAAATTTGATTCCCAGAGATAGTCATTACGGTGCTAGAACAGCAGAGGATGGGAAGGACCTGATTCGTAGCAGCAGAGGGGAAGGGTTAACACCTACTGGTGAAGCAGCATGTGGCAATTTAAGATGTTAATAACAATTTGTAGTTACCTGGAAAGACTGGTTACATATTAAATGATGAACAAAGATCCCAAATTGTGGTTTTGGTTTGTTTTTGTGTTTTTTTGTTTTTTGCCTGCATTGAGCCTTCGTTGCTGCATGCAGGCTTTCTCTGGTTGCAGCAAGCAGGGGCTACTCTTCATCATAGTGTGCGGGCTTCTCATTGCGGTGGCTTCTCTTGTTGCAGAGCACAGGCTCTAGGCATGCAGGCTTCAGTATTTGTGGCGCACGGGCTCAGTAGTTGTAGCTTGCGGGCTCTAGAGCACAGGCACAGCAGTTGTGGTGCACGGGCTTAGTTGCTCCACAGCATGTGGGATCTTCTCAGACCAGGGCTTGAACCCATGTCCCCTGCATTGGCAGGCGGATTCTCAACCACTGCACTACCAGGGAAGTCCCCAAATTGTGGCTTTTAAAATTTTTTTGACTTTTCTGTTTTCTAATTTTTCTAATTAGTGTGTATTACTCTAATGTTTTACTGTATATATTTTTATTGAGGTATAGTTGACTTATAATATTAGTTTCAGGTGTTCTATATAGTGATTCAACAATTTTATAGATTATATTACATTTAAAGTTACTATAAAATATTGGCTATATTTCCTGTGCTGTACAATATATTCTTGTAGCTTATTTTATACATGGTAGTTTTGTACCTTTTAACCCCCTGACCTTATCTTGCCCATTCCCCCAGGACTCTGTAATTTTAGAACTAGAAACCATTAATACACAACAGTGATGTTTAAAATAATTATTCTGCATTTCTGCAGATACATTTGCTGCAATTCCACGGAACCAAATATGCGGCCATTGACCCATCAATGGTCAGTGCTGAGGAGCTCGAGGTGCAGAAAGGCAACCTTGGCATCAGTCAGGAGGAGCAGTAGCTGTTAGAGTTGGCTCTTAGTGATGAGTGATCCAGTGTGTCCGTACAATCAGTGACATCAGTGCCCACCAGTCGGCCTCTCTCTTCGGTTCGTCAGGTTCACCGGTTATCACTGTGTTTGGAACTAGGACTGATTGTCATCTTCGTGACAGGCGGCAGCTCTTCTAAGCCAGTGTAACTATTCCCTCTTCAGTTTTTTTAGCTTTTGAACTTAACGAAGTACTTTTGAAGATTCCCATTTTAAGAATTGTGAAAATTTTGCTACCAAAAGTCTTCACCACTGTGTTGTTAAGTGAATATTAATTTCTGAATTTGGGGATTCTGTGGATTTTTTTCCTTTCCTTTCTTTGTTATTTGCTGTAAATGCTGCACATCCACATTGTGTATCAGAAGGACATTGGTTATTTTTATGCTTTCTTGGTTATAACTTATCAGAGTGCCAAGGCTGTCACCCACTGTTTGCTCTCCTGCAAATGAACTACTTCTAATTTCCAGTTAAGCAGACTGTTTTCAGTTTGGGCTGTTGTCTTTATACCCATTACAGTCTTTGGAATAAAAATTCAATTTGAGTGAGTGGCTTTTGTGATTATCATAGCTGCCAACTGGGCTACCTACACATAGGACTCTCTGAGAATCAGACTGATGTTTGCCAAGCCCATGTGTCTTTAGGTTAAGTTACTTAACCTCTCTAAAGTGCAGTTTGCTCATTGTTAGATTACAGAAACAATCCTTTATTGAGCTGCTGCTATGTGCAAGGTACTTTTCATACCTGCTTTTTTTTCCCCCTCAGTGGAAGATTTTAAACACACATAAAGTAGAGAAAATAGTATAATGAACTACATCCACATTACCCAGTTTCAAAAATTATCAACTCGTGGACTGTGTTGTATCATCTCTTATCCAACCCTCACTTTTTCCACACATACTCCTATGAATGAATTATTTTAAGGCAATTTCTGATACCTTACTTCATCTGTACATTTCTGTATGTACCTTCAAGAGATAAAATAATGCCATAATCACACTAAAAAATTCACCAATAATTCCTTCATACTAACATCCAGTCAGTGTTCTTATTTGTGATTATCTCATAAATGTCTTTTTACAGTTGACTTGTTCTAATCAGCTTCCAAAGTTGACACTTTGGAAAGACCAGAACCTACCAAAAAGGTCTTCTACAACTAAAGATAATATAAAGAAGGAACCACAACAAGATGGGCAGGAGGGGCGGAGTCACAATACAGCCAAGTCCCATACCCCCAGGTGGGGGACCGACATACGGGAGAATTGCAACTGCAGAGGTTCTCCCAAAAGAGGGTTCCAAGCCCCAAGTCAGGCTCCCCAGCCCAAGAGTCCTGCACTAGCAAGATGAGCACCCAGAGCATTTGGCTTTAAAAGGCAAGAGGGGCTTACTTTCAGGAGTACCAGAGGGCTGGTGGAAACAGAGACTTCACTCTCAAAGGGCTCACAGAAAATCTCACATGCTCCAGGACCCAGGGCAGGAACAGTGATTATATAGGAGCCTGGGCCAGACCTACCTGCTGCTCTTAGAGAATCTCCTGGAGAGGCAGGAGGCAACTGCAGCTCACCCTAGGGATATAGTCACTGGCAGCAGCCATTCTTGGGAGCTCATTCTACCATGTGGACACTGGTGCTGGCAAGTCATTGTGGAATCCTCCCTCTGGCTTATTAGCCCCAGCACCCAGCCTGGCCCTGGCCCAACAGCCTATAGGCACCACTGCTGGGATACCTTAGGCCAAGCAACTAACTGGGTGGGGACACAGCTCCACCCACCATCAGATAGGCTGCCTTGAGACCCCCTGAGCCCCCAGCCACCTCTGGACATGGCCTTGCCCACCATAGGGCCCAGCTCCACCCACTCAAGGGCAGGCACCAGTGCCTGGGCCACAGTCCCACATTCCAAGGAGTCTGCTCTAGCCTCCAGACCAGTCTCACCCACCAGGGAGCAGACACCAACAGCAAGAAAACCACAGCTCCACAGCCGCTGGACCCGGACACTCCACCAGCAGGCCAGATCCTGCACTAGGACCAGCTGGGCCTGGCCCCACCCACTAGCAGGCCATCACAACTTCAGGATGCTCTGGACTCTGCACTCAACCATGTCAGGAATGGGCCTCACCCACCAGCGACCTAACACCAGCTCAGGGACTGCTGGTCACTGGGACTAGATTCCAGGATCTGGCTCTGCCTACCAGTAGGCTGGCACTAGCCCCAGGACCTGGGTTCCCCCACCAATGGGTGGGCAACAGCCCCAGAGTCTCCTTGACCTTGACTCTGCCCACCAGTGCCTAGCACTAGTCCTGGGCCTCCTGGGTTCCACAGTCAGCCACCACGTGACCTGGTCCCACCAACCAGAGGTTAGCACCCCCCACACAAGGCAAGGCCTGGCAATCAACTGAACCCGGGGCCAATCAAGCCTACCAAACTACCCACACAGCCTGCCACAACAGAGGGACCCATGCACCCCTCATAGGGTGAACCCCTAGAGGACATACAGCTTGGGTAACAAGAGGGGGATGCGTTGCTGGGATGCATAGGACATCTCCTACAGAAGGCCGCTTCTCCAGGATGGGGAAATGTAACCAACCTGCCAGATACATAAAAAAAAACAACAACAACTCGGCAAAATAAGGCAACAGAGGAGTATTTTCCAAACGAAGGAACAAGATAAAACTCCAGAAGAAAAACTAAGCAAAGTGGAGATATGCAGTCTACTCAAGAAAGAGTTCAGGGTAGTGATCGTAAAAATGATCAAAGAAAACGGGAGAAGAGTGGATAAACAGTGAGAGAAGTTGGAAGTTTTAAACAAAGAGTTGGAAAATGTAAAGAACCAAACAGAGATGAAGAATACACTAACTGGAATGAAAAATATACTAGAAGAAATCAACAGTAGACTAAATGGGACAGAGGAATGGATTAGCGAGCTGGAAGATGGAGAAGTGGAAATCACTGAAGCTGAACAGAAAAAATAATGAAAAGAAATGAGGACAATTTAAGAGACCTCTGGGACAACATCAAGTGCACTAATATAGAGGTCCAAGAAAGAGGAAACAGAGAAAAGGGAGCCGAGAACAAAATTGAAGACATAATAGCTGAAAACTGGCCTAAAATGGGACAGGAAACAAACAGCCAATCCAGGAAGTACAGAGTCCCCACAGGATTAACCCAAAGAGAAACACACCAAGACACATTGTAATCAAAATGGCAGAAATTAGAGATGGAGAGAATATTAAAAGCAGCAAGGGAAAAACAACAAATGAAATACAAATAAAGTCCCATAAACCTATCAGCTGACTTTTCAGCAGAAACTCTGTAGGCCAGTAGGGAATGGCACAATATATTTAAACTGATGAAAGGGAAAAACCTACAACAACCAAGAATACCCCAGCAAGGCTCTCATTCAGATTTGATGGAGAGATCAAAAGCCTTACAGACAAGCAAAACCAAAAACAAGAAATGTTAAAGGAACTTCTCTAAGCAAAAAAGAAAAGGCCATAACAGGAAACCCGAAAATCATGAAAGGAAAAATCTCATTGGTAAAGGCAAACAGTAAAGGCAGGAAATCACACACACACAAAGCTAGTAGGAAGGTTAAAACACAAAAGTAGTAAAATCTATATCCACAGTAAGCAGTAAAGAGATACACAAAACAATTAGATGTAAAACATAATATCAAAAACAGTAAACATGAGGGGAGGAGAGTACAAATGCAGGGTTGTTAAAAGGCATTGGAAATTAAGAGATCAGCAAGTTAAAACAATCACATATATATATCAATTCACATATAAAAACCTCATGGGGGACTTCCCTGGTGGTCCAGTGGCTAAGACTCCATGCTCCCAATGCAGGGAGCCCAGGTTCAATCCCTGGTCAGGGAATTAGATCCCACATGCATGCTGCAATGAAGATCCCACATGCTGCAACTAAGACGTGGCACAGCCAAAATAAATAAATATTAAAAAAAAAAACCTCATGGTAATCATACACAAGATCTATAATAGACACACACACTCAAAAAGAAAAAGGAATCCAAACATAACACTAAACATAGTCATCAAATCACAAGAGAACAAAAGAAGAAAGGAACAAAAAAGACCTATAAAAATAACCCCAAACAATTAACAAAATGGTGATAAGAACATACATATCCGTAATTACTTTAAATGTAAATGGACTAAATGCTCCAATCAAAAGACAGAGTTGCTGAATGAATAAAAAACAAGACCCACGTATATGCTGGCTACAAGAGACTCACTTGAGATGTAGAGACACACATAAACTGAAAGTGAGGGGATGGAAAAAGGGGATGAAAAAATTTCCATTCCAGGCAAATGGAAATCAAAAGAAAGCCAACATAGCAATAGTCATATCAGACAAAATAGACTTTAAAATAAAGACTGTTACAAGAGATAAAGGAGGACATTACATAATGAACAAGGGATCAATCCAAGAAAAAGATATACCAATTGTAAATATATATGCATCCAACATAGGAGCACCTAAATACATAAAGCAAATATTAATGGACATAAAGGCAGAAATTGATAATAACAATAGGGGACCTTACCACACTTACATCAATGGAAAGAACATCCAGAGAATCAATAAGGAAACACTGGCCTTAAATGACACATTAGACCTAATGAACTTAATAGATATATATAGAACATCCCATAAAAAGCAGTAGAACACACATTCAAGTGCTCATGGAACATTCTCCAGGATAGATCACATGCTAGGCCAGAAAACAATCCTTGGTAAATTTAAGAAAATTGAAATCATATCAAGCATCTTTTCCAACCACAATGCTATGAAACTAGAAATCAACTACAAGAAAAAAAACCTGCAAAAAACACAAACAGGTGGAGGCTAAACAATATGCTACAAAACAAGCACTGAATAAATCAAAGAGGAAATAAAAAATACCTAGAGACAAATGAAAATGAAAACACAATGATCCAAAAATATATGGGATACAGCAAAAGCAGTTCTAAGAGGGAAGTTTATAGCTATACAAGCTTACCTCAGGAAACAAGAAAAATCTCAAACAACCTGACCTTACACGTAAAGGAACTAGAAAAAGAACAACAAACAAAACCCCAAGTCAGTAGAAGGAAAGAAATTGTAAATCAGAGCAGAAATAAATGAAATAGAGATTTTTTAAAAATCAATGAAACTAAGAGCTAGTTCTTTGAAAGGATAAAATTGATAAACCTTTAGCCAGACTCATCAAGAAAAAAGAGGAAGGGCCCAAATCAATAATATCAGAAATGAAAAAGGAGAAGTTACAGCCAACAGCACAGAAATAGAAAGGATCATAAGAGACTACTACAAACAAGTATATGCTAATAAAATGAACAACCTAGAAGAAATGGACAAATTCCTAGAAATATACAACTTCCCAAGACTGAACCAGGAATAAATAGAAATTATGAACAGATCAATTACCCATAATGAAACTGAATCAGAAACTTTAAAAACTCCCAACAACACCAAAAATTCCAGGACCACGTGGCCTCACAGAAGAATTCTACCAAACATTTCTACAAGAG